TCAAGGCTGCTGATCTCGTACATCCCACCTTTCGCTGTGGTTTTCTCTGTCGGAGTGCGTTCACCTCCCCATTGGCAGTGGTTTTGAGACATGTTTTCGATTAGTTGATAGGCTTCGTCGTATGGCTTATCCATAAGTGCACCGCCCGCGGCAGCGTCTATTGTCAATCTAGTATTGTATAAAAGCCCATTATAGAAAGTATGGATTGTCACCCAGTCTTCTAAACCGTGGTGAGGACATGTTCTCATCATATCTTTGAATCGTTCTCATGCTTCGTAAAGAGATTCAGTATCTTTTTGTCGAAATCCGTTGATTTGAGCTCTGAGCATAGCAGTTTTGCTTGGCGGAAAATATCTCGCTAAGAAGACGTTCTTCAATTGTTCCCACGTCGTAACGGAGTTGGATGGTAAAGATTGTAACCATGTCCACGCTCTGTCTCTAAGAGAGAATGGGAAAAGACGAAGTTTTATTGCGTCTGGAGTTACTCCATTTGCTTTCACTGTGTCTGCGTATTGTACAAACTTCGTTAAATGTTCGTTTGGATCCTCAGTTGCGTTTCCTGAGAATTGGTTTTGTTGTACAACCGACAACAATGATGGTTTTAGCTCAAAATCGTTTCGAGTAATAGCTGGGGCAGCAATGCTACTTCTAGGCTCCATCTGAGAGGGTGTAGCGTATGCCTTCAGCGGTTTGTTTGGAGGTCCTTCAGCCATCTTTGGTTTTTCTTCTGATTTGGGAATGGGAGTGAGAGGATCGGGAATGTTATGTTTGAGTTGGTACTCAATGATTCGACTTCTTAAATGTAAGAAGCGCTCTAGTTCTGCGACTGAAGGTTTCAAGATATCGCCTTGTGGGCGATTACTTGGCATACAATCGACAACACTAGTAAAGGAAAAATGAAAATAGTTAACCTAGTCTATACGGCGTAACAAAAGGTTACACTATTGACTAAACGGGTCCCCGACAACGGCGCCAAAAACTTGATCGCGACTTTCTATGTCTAATACAACCTAACTGCAAGTGCACAGTCTATCGCGTAGTAATAATAGATATCGATCCCACAGGGACTCGTAATCAAACTAGTGTTCTCGGGAGTTACTATGTTTAGCTAGGTAGATAATGTTTAAGGGAATAAGATTGTCACTAAAGGGAACTATGAATGTTAATTAAATTATAATTAATTGAATCGATATGCAGTAATTATGTTCTTCGGGGATTTGACAAGTTACCGGTATACAAAATAATTTTCAGAGTTTATTTAAGCAGAAAATGGTGATCTGAAGACTCTCGCCTCACGATGGTTATTGACGCTAATCATAATTCTAAGGGCCAAACGTACGCTTTCGTGTCCCATTCGGGGTTTAAATTATTTTTTAGAAATCTCTAAATTCTAATTCATTTTAAAGTGCTTTTGCTGTTATTAAAATGAATGACTAGTGTTTACTATCTGGTCTTGCCGCAGCTTTCGCTTGTCGGTTCGTACCTTAATTAATTTCCCACTTTCGTGGCAAAACTACTTTTAAATAAGTTCTCGCTTTCGCGACGAAGTTTATTCAGTAAATTAATTTAAACACTCAGACCATAAACAACTTTTGAAAAAGACAATTTTCAACCGGTTATTATCAAATCCCTTCCGAATTATTATTACATATCGATTACTTTAATTTAGCCAGACATGGATTTGGGAAAGGTAAAACATAAATGAAAACAATAAATAATAGAATGCATCATAATAAAACTGGAATTACGATTAAAATGAGAAACCTGTAAATATTCCAATTGACCTTTGGGCAGATCCTCCACAAATGTTGGCAGGATTCTGGTCTTTGTGCCAATTGATCGTACAACGGAAATAAGAATTACAGAAGAATCAAAGGAATGCAGAAAAAGAAAAGAGAAACAAATAAGAATATTAAAAACTGGAAAGGTTGCTCTGAAGATAAATTGGCAACACTTCGTTGTCTGAATGCGGCTCCCCTTCTGAGTTTCCCTTCTTCCCTTTTTATAGAAATGGAATTCTAACGGTTATAACTTGAAGAAGGTGGACTTTGAGGCAGAATTATCAGGGGGTAGTGGTCCACTATTTGGGACTTGGAACTGCTTCTTTCACGTGCATTTGAAGTGGGGCGTTTTTGCCTGCATGACGGTCGTCACGGTGTGTGACGGTCGTCACCCGTGTGACGGTCGTCATGGGGCTGTGACGGTCGTCACAGCAGCAGAATCTGCATTTTGCGTTTTTCATGTTGTTTTCATCCGGTTTTCTTCCATATTTCATCTGTGATTGCTTCTTTTCTTCATATTGCTTCGTTTAGACGTGATTATCAAATACCTGTAAAACATCAGACAAATAACACAGAAATAACCCGAAATCGGATCGAAAACAGTTAAACTTCAGTTGAATTATGCATCAATATATATACGATTTCATGTTATCACAGTCCATTCAGAAAACTCAGCAGCAATTGATTCTCATAGGGCGTAAAACCATAACCACATCTTCTTTGGAGGTTTCAAATCATAAAAGCGCTTAATGTTCGTATTAATCTTCCAAGAGCTCCTATAACCATTGGAGTCCTTTGGCATCCTCCCCCTTAACTGGATAAAGTTCAATTGTGATGGTTCCTTCAACCTCAATTCTGCCGGTTGTGGGGGAACCTTTCGAAATTATCAAGGTGATTATATCCTGGCCTTCTCGGAGCAGGCTTTGTGCCATCCGTCTTCCTTAACTGAGTTTGCTGTTACCACTAAAGCTATGGAAATTGCTACGGATAAGGGTTGGAACAAATTATGGATTGAGATTGATTCTCTAAATGTCGTCCAAGTTTTCCGCAACTCTTCTTAAGTGCCTTGGAAAATTCGTCACAGGTGGATTGCTTGCATCTCTTATTTTGCACATAGAAGTATTTTTGCCTCTCATATTTTTCGAGAAGGAAACTCTTGTGCTGACTTTTTGGCTAATATCGGTTTAACTTGTAACTATCTAATCATTTTTGAATCTATACCTATGGACATTAGGAAGTTTTTTGTACAAAACAAACTTGGAATGTCTTCTTATACATTTTCTACTTCATAGCTGATTGTTTTTGGACATCCTTTTGAAGAGGGTATTGGTCTAATCCCTCTCTCTACTTTTCTGTTCCATCTTTTCCTCTTTTTAATATAATCCAAAAAAAACTTCAAGTGTTTTATTTATTGTTGATGTCACGTTCACTTCGCCTCGATAAAGAAAATTCAATAGTGTGATGTAAATGAAGCAACACTTGCATGGGCACCAAAAAGTATTTTTTGATTTATAAAAAGTGTTATACTTAAATTGATTTTAATTATAGAATTTATATTATTTATTAGAATATTTTTATTGGAGTAATCGAATAAAGTAAAAGTTATTAAAATATATGTATAGTAGTAAAAAATTAATAATAAATACGACATTATAGTAAAAAAATAATTATTTTGAGAGAGATAGAAAAGTATAATTAAATTTTTATTTATTAAACGGAGAGAGTAAATGCAAAAATAAATCAATTAAAATTATGTATATTTTCAAAATAATTAAATCATGAATATGTGTTCAAATAATTATTATATGTGATTATACCTAAGTATTAATCTATGTAAATGAATGCAATTAAAGTGTTCTAAATACAACAGAGTGGTATGTTCTATGAGTGCATGTTATACTTTATAACAGCTAAAAAAAACAAAAGAAAGTCTAGAATAAAGTGAAGCATGCATTCCCTTAAAGCTTGTGAGAATCGATTATTGTGTACGCGTGCACGTTGGAATCCGCCATTCTGAGTTTCTCATGCATTCTGAGTTCCCTTAAATTATTTTATGTTTTATAATAGCTTTAAATTGAATATTTTATTTAGTAACGCCATTTCAATTGGCGCTTATGTGTTAAAAAAATAGAAAAAGTCCAAAACACATGCACATGCGGTCCCTTAAAAAGTTTGTCAGAATTGATTATTGAATAGAAATGGCGAATTCATTTGTATCGTTCTGCATTCAAAACTCTATAAATACCAATTTTCACTTTTCACATTTCACACTTCTTCTATTTCATTTTTCATATTTTTATTCCAAAAGCATTCTTATGGATGGAAGATGCAGATATAATTAAACAGAGAAGAAAATGTAAGTCGTTTTTAGATTTTACCATTATTTATGTTATGTTTATTTATTGGTAAACACTTCGTTACTCACTTATTTATTTATTTGTTTATATTATTTTATATTATTGTTAATATTATTTATTTGTATTAATGTTATCTATATGCTTTTATTATTGATGTCACGTTTTAATTATTTTATATTATTTTATTTATTTATTTATTTATTTATTAGGATGAGTGTAGATGGTTTGGTTCTATTCTCATAAAATATGTATGTAGTATTATAAAAGAAATGCTTCTATTTGAATTAATTATTTAAATTTAATTAATAAATCTATTAAATGCGATTTTTTCACCTAAATAACTAAGTTTCCATACAAATATTTCCAAACTACCCATTTTTCCAATATATTATCCAATCTACCCTAGTTTGATATTTTTTTTTATTTTTTTTTACAAGGGGACGCCATGGGGGTTGAAGCCTCCCTTATAATTTGTATGGGGGCGCCATGGGGGTTGGAGCCACCCTACAAATTATAAAGGGGGTGCCATACCCATTGGAGCCTCCCTTAAACGAAAATTAAAAATTATTTTTAATGTTTAATTAATTTAAAAATATTTAATAAATAATTTTTAATAAATTAAATTTTTTTTAAAAATAATAATTTTGTAAATAATAATTAGTTTGAATTCTCATTCGCTAAAAGGTAATTATTTCAAGAATGACCAATCTAGCACCTATCCAACAAAATCAGTTTGAATTCCCATTCGCTAAAAGGTAAATATTTTTTCCAATTCTCATTCATCTATCAAAGTGTTTTTATTTATTAAGCATATTATTAATAAATTTTATTGTTTTCGATTTGTAGGTGATCTTCGCTTGGAATGAATTATGACAATTGTCCCCACTTCAGTATAACGCAGTACCGCAATCTTATTGATCACTTGGCGCAAGAAGATGTAAACTCACTCACCTACCTATTAATGTTATACTCTCCTTGAATATTATTAGAAAATACTAAACATTTTTTTTCATCCTTCAGTTCATTTGGCGGCCGTATCTTGGTCTACAAGCATTTCATCAAGTTGAACGACAAGATTCTGCGGTGTGGAGTGCAAAGGTGCCCATTATCAACTTCACCACCGTCGAAATGCACAACAGTGATCGTGTGAAACTTCAATTTGGAATGCTTCAAGATATTTCATGTCCCCCAAAGTGCATACCCGACAAATATCACAACGGTAAAGTCTCCGACCAATGGGAATATAATCCGTGGACCAAGTATGCAAAACACGAGTGTCGTGAATGGAGGCATCGCAACAACTATGTTTTGTCCGACAATGTGTTTCCATACGAGATGAAACAATCTATACAATACATGACTTGGTATAAGTTTGTATCAATTGGTTTCATTTCACATCCAAGGTATCTTAATGACCCACGCCAACAAGATTCATCATCAAGGCCCCAACAACCAACCCAACCCTATTTCCAACCGCCAACCCAACCCCAATGCCAACCGCCAACCCAACCCCATTTCTAACCCCCAATCCAACCCAATTTCCAACCCCCACTCACACAATCACAGCCATATGAACATACTCCTAACCAATTCACTCCATTCACACAAACTCATTCACAATCCGAATACCAACAACATCCACCACAATACCACACATACTCCCAGTTTCAAACACCCAATCAACCAATACCCACCCAATCATTTACACCCATCCCACCCTACGATCAGGCAGACTATCGTCCTGACATTGCCTCGTCTAGCCAACCACCCCAAAATAACTATGAAGGCATGGGCAACTCTTTTGATTTGGATGACTTTACGGATATGGATCCGTCTTCATGGGCCGAAGTGATGTAAATGCTTGATGACGACACAGTGGACCCGACTCCACCACAAAGACCACCAAGAAACGTACGTAATCGAGGATGCGGTACGGGCGGACATTTAAATCGACCGAGTCGTAGAAATTAGTGTACAAGATCTTTCAAATGTAGTCATTTGTATGTGATTAAATTTATTTAATCCAAATTAATTTTTATTTGTTGTTTGGAATTTATTAATGAAAATATTAATTATTATTTATTTATAAATTGTTAAAAATATGAAACAATTTCAATATTAAAATATGAATTGTTAAAAATTATTCAGAAATTATTATTTACAAAATTATTATTTTTAAAAAATTTTTAATTTATTAAAAATTATTTATTAAATATTTTTAAATTAATTAAACATTAAAAATAATTTTTAATTTTCGTTTAAGGGAGGCTCCAATGGGTATGGCGCCCCCTTTATAATTTGTAGGGTGGCTCCAACCCCCATGGCGCCCCCATACAAATTATAAGGGAGACTCCAACCCCCATGACGCCCCCTTGTAAAAATAAATAAATAAAAAATACCAAACTAGGGTAGATTGGATAATATATTGGAAAGATGGGTAGTTTGGAAATATTTGTATGGAAACTTGGTTATTTGGGTGAAAAAATCATTAAATGCTGCTGATCATAAACAAAATTACGTCGGTTATAATTTAATACATCAAACCATTTAAATCTCTACAAATCTCTCTCAAATTATAGATTTTTTTTTTAATTTAAGAATTTCTAAGCATGGAATACTTAAATTAACAAATTTCAATATATTCTATTTTCAAACAAAAATTGTATTAATTCCAAAACAATTTAAAAAAATATTTATATTGATTGCTTAACTCTTTCAAACGTATTATATTATTTATTTTTATTTAATTAACGACAAATTTAATAATTAATTTTGGAGTTTTTTTGTTATTAAAATATTAAATAATTTTAAATAATATATTTTAAAGAGTTAAGAGATTAATATTTACATTTTTTAAATTAAAAAATTAAAATAAATATTAAAGTTTATATAGGACCAAAAAGAATATTAAATTCTTATTTTTTATTATAATGTACCAATTGAAAAAAAATGCACATTACATATTTTTAATTAACTAATAATTTAGTGTTTCAAATAATTAATTAATATAATATATTTGACAAGTTATATAGGGTCTAATCAAATTAAAAAGAAAAACAAATAATTGTACTATAATTAAATTATTCTATGTTTGATAACAATTTTAAATTGAATATTTTATTTATTTACGCCATTTCAATGGGCATTTTTCAAAAAAATAGAAAAAAAATCCAAAACACATGCAATTCTTTAATAAGCCTGTTAGCATTGTTTATTAAATTGTCGTTTCAGAATATTTTATTTAGACATTTTTTTAAATAATTTATTTATTTAATTTAAATATTAAAATAATATATTTTTAATTTTTTTATAAATAATGTCGTTTCAGAAGGAGCAAATATGGAATTTTTCACTCATATATCCACATTTCAGCCTATTATTTATCAATATATCCACCCTTTCAAATTAAATCTCATTCTATCCATATTTTAAACAATTTCTTTTTTATAAGGGGGGCGTCAACCCCTACGGAGTCACCTTTACAATTATAAGGGGGGTGCCATCCATGATGGAGTCACCCTTATAATTATAAGGGGGCGCCATCCATGATTGAGTCAGTTTAAAACGAATTTTTTAAATTAATTTTTAATAAATAATATTTATTAAATAATATTTATTAAATAACATTTAACAATTAATTATTATTTAATAAATAATATTTTTAAAAATAATAATTAAAAATTAAATGAATTTAATAAATAATATATTAAATAATAATTAATATTTTCATTTAATAACAAATGAGTATATATGAGAAATATGGTACACTAATTTCTACAACTAGGTCGAGGTAAATGTCTGCCTATACCACATCCTCTAGTACGTACTTTCTTGGTGGTCTTTGTGGTGGAGTCGGGTCCAATGGATCGTCTTCAAGAAATTGGATCATTTGGGCCCATGAATATGAGTCGATATCCGCAAAGTTTTCAAAATTAATGGGGTTGTCTATGCCTGCATAATTATGTTGGGGTGGTTGGCTCGATGAGACAATGTCAGGACGATAGTCTGCCTGGTCGTAAGGTGATATGGGTGTAAATGTTTGGGTGGGTAAGGATTGATTGAGTGTTTGATACTCCGTGTTAAATTGATTTATAGTATCATAGGAGTATGTTTGGTATCGTGGTGGATATTGTTGGTATTGAGATTGTGAATAACTTTGTGTGAATGAGGTGGATTGGTAAGGGGTATGCTTATGGAGTTGTGGTTGTGTGAGTGGGGGTTGGGTTGGCTGTTGGAAATGGGGTTGGGTAGGCTGTTGGGGTCTTGATGATGAGGCTCGTTGGCGTGGGTCAATAAGATATCTAGGATGCGAAATGAAACCAATGGATACCGACTTATACCAATTCATGTATTGGATAGACGGTTTTCTCTCGGATGGCAACACAGTGTCGGACAAAACAAAATGGTGGCGATGCTTCCATTCATGACACTCATGTTTTGCATAGTTGGTCCATGGAGAATAGTCTCATTGGTCGGAGACTTTACTGGTGTGATACTTCTCGGGGATGCATTTTGGCGGACATGGAATATCTTGTAGCATTCCAAACTGAAGTTTGACACGATCACTGTTGTGTATTTCCACGGTGGTGAAGTTGATAATGGGCACCTTTGCACTCCATACTGCAGAATCATGTTCGTTAACTTCATAAATGTCTTCTATACCAAGATATTGCCGCCAAATAAACTGTAAGAGAAAAAAATAATATTTAGTATTTTCAAATAATATTTAAGGTGACTATATTCTAAATACGTAGGTTAGTGATGGTACATCATCTTGACCCAAATGACCCAGAAGATTTCGTTACTGAGTGATACTGTAATGGGGACAGTTGTCATAATTCATCCCAAGTGAAGACCACCTACAAATTGAATTATGACAACTGTCCCCATTACAGTATCACCCAGTACCGAAATCTTCTGGATCATTTGGGTCAAGATGATGTACCTTCACTAACCTACCTATTTAGAATATAGTCACCTTAAATATTATTTGAAAATACTACATATTATTTTTTTCTCCTACAGTTTATTTGGCGGTCATTTCTTGGTTTAGAAACCATTCATGAAGTTAACGAACACGACTCTGCAGTGTGAAGTGCAAAGGTGCCTATTATCAACTTCACCACTGTGGAAATGCACAACAGTGATCGTGTCAAGCTTCAGTTTGGAATGCTACAAGATATTCCATGTTCGCCAAAATGCATCCCCGAGAAGTATCACACCAGTAAAGTCTCCGACCAATGAGACTATTCTCCATGGACCAACTATGTAAAACATGAGTGTCGTGAATGGAAGCATCGCCACCATTTTGTTTTGTCCGACACTGTGTTGCCATACGAGAGAAAACCGTCTATCTAATACATGAATTAGTATAGGTCGGTATCCATTGGTTTCATTTCGCATCCTAGATATCTTGTTGACCCACGCCAACAAGCCTCATCATCAAGACCCCAACAGCCTACCCAGCCCCATTTCCAACAGCCAACCCAACCCCCACTCACACAACCACAACTCCATGAACATACCCCTTACCAATCCACCCCATTCACACAAAGTTATTCACAGTCTCAATACCAACAATATCCACCACCATACCAAACATACTCCTATGATACTACAAATCAATTTAACACGAAGTATCAAACACTCAATCAATCCTTACCCACCCAAACATTTACACCCATGTCACCTTACGACCAGGCATGCTATCGTCCTGACATTGCCTCATCGAGCCAACCACCCCAACATAATTATGCAGGCATGGGCAACCCCATTAATTTTGATGACTTTGCGGATATCGACTCATCTTCATGGGCCTAAATGATCCAATTTCTTGAAGATGACCCATTGTACCCGACTGCACCACAAAGACCACCAAGAAACGTACGTACTAGAGGATGCGGTACAGGCGGACATTTACCTCAACCTAGTCGTAGAAATTAGTGTACCATATTTCTCATATGTACTCATTTGTTATTAAATGAAAATATTAATTATTATTTAATATTCTATTTATTAAATTCATTTATTTTTAATTATTATTTTTAAAATATTATTTATTAAATATTGTTTAAATATTATTTAATTGTTAAATATTATTTAATAAATACTATTTAACATATTATTTATTAAAAATTAATTAAAAAATTCGTTTTAAGCTGACTCCATCATGGATGGCGTCCCCTTTATAATTATAAGGGTGACTTTGTAGGGGTTGGCGCCCCCTTATATAAAAAATTGTTTGAAATATGGGTAGAATGAGATTTAATTTGAAAGGGTGGGTATATTAATAAATAATAGGCTGAAATGTGGGTATATGAGTGAAAAATTCGCAAATATGCAGACACCATTTTATTTTGAGTATATGATAATGTCAAAAGTCATGCACCAGTTGATTTGAAGCATACATGTAGGTATAATCAAATCAAATGACGCCTACACCGTCCTTGCCCTAATTTGGAGTACATGTGTCATATCAAATGGCACATTCTTCCTAAATTTTTATTTTGTTTTATTAAGAA